GAGGAGGCAGATGAGGAGGAGGATGAGGAGGAGGAGGAAGAGTAATTTTCAGGATCGAGGAGGTGGCCCGTGCTGAGGCCCCACGAGCGGAGGCGCGGGGCCTCCCCGTCCGCCCCTCTCCAGGGGAGCGTCCGTGGACGACATCAGGGACTTGAACAAGCCGGGCAACATCGGCCCGCGCCGCCGCCCCCTCCTGCCTCGCGCCCGCCCGCCCTCCTCTCCTCCTCCCCTCCCTCCCTTCCTCCCTTCCTCCCTCCCTTCTCCGCCTCACATCCCTTCCATCCTCCCTTCCTCCCTCCCTTCCTCCCTCCCTTCCCCCCTTCTCCACATCCCTCCCTCCTATCCCCCCCGCATCCCTCCCATCCTCACACCAGTGCAATTCGAGCGCATCAGAACCAGCCGAGTCGAGGCCAAGGAGAGGCGCAGACGCCGCCGAGCATCCTGGGACCCTGACATATGTCGATTCCATCCTATGGCCAGACGAGCAATCGCATTCCTTTTCCCTCATATGACAGGTGGGCGAACATGTTTATGGAATCGCTTCGCTCATTCCGCCAGCCCAGATTGCCTCGCCGCTGTCGTTCGTCGGGGTGCTCTTGTCGATGCGGTGCCGTTGGGCGGCTGCCATTTTTCGGAGGCGGTGGTGGTGGGTCAGAGGCCTCATGGATGTTGGTTGAGCTCTCGTGGTTAGCCTCTCGAGGGCCTCTGGGAGGCAGTTTTGAGGCCCCATCTGGGGGCGTGGTGGGGCCTCTTGGGGCCTCTTGGGGGCTCCTTGGGGCCGCCGTTTTGGGGCCCTCTTGGGCCGTCTTGGGGCCCTCTTGGGCTCTCTTGGGCCCATCTTGGGGGCGTGTTGGGTCGTCTGGGGATGATGTTGGAGGCAGGGGCAGTTCTGGACGCTGTGGACGCCCAAACGTCGTACATGCGAAACATGTATTTTTCCGAAGGGGAATGGGACGATTTTGGCTTGTTGGGACCCTCTTGGAGAGGCTCTTGAGGCTCTCTTGGGTTTTCTTTGCGGCCTCTGGGGCCATCTGGAGACCATCTTGAGCGTCTTGGAGCGATCTTTCGGCGACTCGGGGCCTCTTGGGCCGTGTAGGTGGCGCCCCGGCGCCCTCTTGGCGCACTCCTGGAGCGCCCTGGGGGAGTCGGCCGGGCATCGCCGGGGGTGCTTTTCGTCCGGGGGTCCCCAGGGGCCGCCACGCGCGCTTGAGCTAGAACTATTGTTAACCTGTTGCCCGAGATCTTAGCACGCCTCTGGCACGTTGGGCCAGCGAATATATGATGTAAGGGATGCTAGTCTCAAGATCTATGAGGGAACTTTACAAAGACGCGAAGAATGACGGGCGTCGAGCACTGGCGACGGCGCAAACCGAGTGTCAGGTAGCCCTGGTGGCTACAGGCAAAACGTGTGGCAGCGCGTGTGGCTACGGTCAGTCGAGGCGCCCGATGGTACGTTCATCGGCCCCCTCTCGCTAGCAGGTGGCACAAGGCGTGGGTCTTACGGCGGATCTTCTGCTGGAGGTCCCCCTTGCAGCATGGACAAACCGTGCCGTGGAGGTAAGACTTAGCCTTCGAAGTCACCCTGTGCGCGATGCGCTCACGGCACGCGCGGGCACGCGCAGAGGCGAAGCGCGCACTGTACATCCGGCACTTCACCGTGAGAGGCGTGGCCGTGGATGCGGTGCACTCGCGGTCCAGGCAAGAATCGCATAAATGCGCGCTGCCCACGCTGTCGGCCCACTCCCGCCGGTCAGCCACCAGTTCGGCCCACTGGAGCGGTGCGTCGAAGAAGCCAGGCATGGCGGGATGCACCAAACCCTGACGACGCGGGAACTCGCAGTCAGCAGCGACGAGCCTCACCCACGGCAACGGTTGCCCCTTCGAGCGGAAGTGCAGGAGTGCCAGCAGGTCTGGGGGGCGCAGCAGCACCGGCCGCTGCAAGTAGCGCAGCCTCGTGGTCATGGGCAGCCTGTCTGTCGATGCCGCTCTCAGTCGCTCGCGCACGGCGCGGTCAGACCACTGCGCGTCAGGGCCGATTCGAGGATCACCTGCGACGCGGCGGAGCCCGCGCATGCGCGCCGCGCACAGGCGGCGCAGGCGCGCCGCTGGGAGGCGCGCGATACGGAGGCCGAAGAGCAGGCGCGACAGCACGAGTGACCTCAGGAAGCTGCGTTTGCGCCGTTCCTGGATCAGCGCGCTGCCGAACATTTTGTTTCCCGGTCGGCAAGCGCGCGCCCGCGGCCATCTTCGCGCGCCCAAGCGCGCCAGCACGGGCCCCGCCCGTCACGCGCAGCAGGGCGCCAAGGTGGCAATAGGAAGCCACCGCCTGCAGCCGTTTCCAGACTTCCGGAACCCAAATGGCGAGCTCCCCGCCGTCGGGGGCGCTGGGGGGGGGGCGATGACTAGGGGGGGTATCATGGCGGGGGCCATGATATCTCCCAGATTTCATGGCGCCTCTTCTTATTTCATTGCGCCCCTGGCCCCCCCGCTGGGCCGCGCGCGCGCCGCCGGCCATGATTTGCACCCCCCCCCTCTTGGACCCCCTCTTGGCCGCTCCCGACGCCGCCGCGGCGCCGAGACTCGCGGGCGCGCGTCGCGCTGTTCCTGCGGCGCTGCACGAGGCACCCTGTCTTGCCCTTCGCCCAGTTGACGGTCAAATGGCACCGCCCGAATTCGGCGGTGAGGGCGCGCAGGAGTTGCGCAATCGCGGCGTCCAGGTGGGCCAGCAGACGCACAGGGAGGAGCGGCGACGACCGGCCGCCCATCTGCGCCCTCCCCGCGCGGAGACTGCCAGAACGAGCCATCAGGCTCCGCGGCGCGGAACTCGAGCCAGTGCTCTGCGAGCTGGATGTCCAGGAGGCCGAGGGCGACGCAGTAGCCGACGTCGAAGACATGCGAGCCGACCTTGCAGCCCCGTCGCCCGCCGGTCCTCGAGCGCGCGGCTTGCGCGCCGCCGCGCACCTGGAACCGCGAGTGTTCGCGGAGAGTTCGCAGCGTGCCAAGGGCAGCCGGGTTCACGCCCCACTGCTCGAAGACGCATTTGCGATTGGCCGCGCAGTCCACGATCCACGCCGCAGCGGCCGGGTCGACTCCGAGAGCGACAAGGTGCGGCACGCGCTCCTCCGTCGGACGCGACCCCCATCCCATGATTAGTTCTCGGACGATCTTATCGAACACTTTCACAAGGTCCACGAAGAGCACGAAGACGCTGCGGCCCAGCGCCTCCTGGTGAGGGGCGATCGGACGATGTGGGTGGCAAAGTCTGGGCCTCGCCCTGCGACCGCGCCGCGCTGGCGTAACGGCGCGCGCCGAGTGTACACGTCGTTCATGGCCTCTTTTCCAATCGAAGCGAGTGCTTTCGACGTGTCAGCTAGAAGCAAGCCGCGGCCGTCATCGCAGACAGTTGGATCGCCCTCCCTCTTCCGCACATGAACGAGGTCACCGCCGCTCCATTCGACGGGCCACTGCAGCGTCGCGACCACGCGGCAATTGAGCTTGGAGTACGTGGCGGCGCACGTGGCTCTGCCAGCCTGCAGAAATTCCGCGGGGATGCCATCAGGTCCAGCGCCCTTATTCTTGCCCAGCGCGTCAGAGGCGGCCTCAGTCCGCACGACGCCCGCGTCGAGGGACACTGGAGGCGGCGCCAGCTCAGCCCCGTAGCGCACTTGGTCTCGCGAGACCAGCTCACCCTGGAACACAGATGCGACATCCTCGTCCCGCATGCCGGTCTCCTCATCGTGGGACGTCGTGAGCGAGCCATCGAGCATGTACACCGAGGTGTTATGGATTGTCTTGGCCGCGCCGAGGCTGCGCGCGACGCCATAGGCAGTCTCTGGGTCGTTGCATTGCATGGCAGCGGCCGCCTTCAGCGCGAGCGAATCCAAGAACTCGGCGCGATCGCGGGCCAGAAGCGGCCGGACGTTCAGCTGCGCAGCGAAGACGGCAGCAGTCCATAGCAGTCGAACCACGTGAACTCTGCGGATCGGCGTCCGAGGTCGATGGCCTGCCCACGCCAGCGCCATGGGGAAGTCTTGGCAGATCGCATGCTGCCATCACCCGGAGGCGAGCGCGCCGCCGAAACGCGCCACGCGCAGAAGACTGCCCCCCGGAACGCCCAGCGCGCCTCGCTTGCAGCGTCCGCGATCTGCCGCCGAATGGGCGTTACCTGGCGGATGCGCGCCCAAGTGCCAGGGGCCATCTATCCATGGCTTGCGAGGTGCATCCCGGGCCCGCTGGAAGCAGAGCGAGGCCTAGCGACGAAGGCAACGTCGCTGGCGTCCGCGAGGTGCTCGTCCATGGCCACGCCGGAGGGGGGGTAACAGCGCCAAGGCTTCGCGCGCCTCTGGATCGGCCATGGCCCGCGCGGCCAATCTCAAAGTCGCCCGCCACGAGGCCGCGGTCGACCCGGCAGCGCAGCGCCTGGGTTTGGTGGTCGGCCCGGCACAGCAGGCGGTCCAAGCGGCATCTAGGACCCTTGGGAAATGCCCCGGTGGGGCCAACCTGCGGGGAAAACGGGGAGATGGCGATGAAGTCAAAATGCTCCGCGAAACTCCGTAACCGGGAGCAGTTGTCGCTCTCGCGCCCGGGGCGGCGGCGGCCCATGGCTTCGAGGACGCGCTGCCGACGCGGGCGTTCGCGCCCGGCGCGCGCGACCAGAACGCCGATGGACGGCGCTGGAGTAGTTCGGCGGACGCGCGCCGGAGGGCGGGCCAAAATGTTCCCCCGGTCGCCTCGGAGTTGCCCCTCGGCGGGGCGTGGCCCACTAGGGCAATCGCGAGGCGCCCGCTCCACCAGCGCAGCATCGCGCGCGTCGGGGTCGGGCCGGCGGCGCGCCGCCGCGCCCGGCGCCGCGTCGCACCCGGGGCCAGGCGCCGCGATGTCCGCCAGCGCCCGCCGCGCCCATGAACATCCTGCAGGTGCCCGGGCGCCCGGCGGACTCGGCGCCCCGCCCCTCTCGCGCGCCGGCGGCGTCAAGAGCGGCGCCGTGGAAGCGCTGCTCGAGGATGGTCACCTTCGAAGGCGGCAGTGCGGATGAGCTCCGCGCGCGGCTCTGGGTGGCCCGGCGCGGTAGAAGCGCCTGCGCGTTCGCGGCGGCGCCGCGCAGCGTCGACTGGGCACCCCGGCCGGTGGCGAGGTCGCCGGAGGAGGCGCGGCA